CCATGAATTTTAACCATTAATCCATGTTAATATTTTATTTTCTTCAGGGTTATTCCCAGAACTCTAATGCCCATAGAGGTAATCCATAATTTAATTAATGTAATGGCATAGCTTGTCTAATAATAATAATAATAATAATAATAATAATAATAATAATAATAATAATAATAAGATAACTGGGGAGCCAGTCGGGGAGGTGAAGGCAGTGTCTGGAATGCACCAAAGAAAAGCAGAAATGGCTAAACAAGCTGACGCCTTCGTAGCCTTACCTGGTAATTGTTATAATTAATTATTAATCTCATCTTCTAATTAAATCATACAATTATATTAATTTATTTAATTTTCACATGCTAATCTAACAATAATTGTATGTCTCTTAGTTGTTGCTATCATGGAACTAATTAAATTGGAATATTGAAAATGTTACATAAAGTGGAAGCAAATTTTGATAAACTATTATGTCATGAAATGTAAAGAGAACTTTTTTTTTTTTAAATAATAGTCACAATCATATATATCTATTGGTTGATGCTCAGTCAATACCTAATTGTGTGTCTGTGTTTATTTTATTTTAAAAATAAAAATAAAAATTAGGGAGATGCTACAGTCTCGTTACGGAACCATTTCGTCGAGTTTGTAACCGTTAGATCATCAATTAACTGTCGGGATAGTTGATCTAATAGTTACAAACAACGATGGAATAGTTCCGTAACAGGACTGTAGCATAATTAAATAGAAGTATAAATTTGCAGGTGGTTATGGTACATTGGAAGAGTTGCTAGAAGTCATCACTTGGGCTCAACTTGGAATCCATGATAAACCGGTAATTCTACACTTCACATATTTAAAAAAAAAAAAAATCATTTTAAATAATCAATATAAATAGAAACCAAAAGAGCCTTACGATTCATTAGACATTTTGTAAAATTTAAATCATTGCAGGTGGGATTGCTGAATGTAGATGGCTACTACGACTCATTGTTGACTTTTATAGACAAAGCCGTCGACGAGGGTTTCATTACGCTCTCTGCCCGTCACATTATCGTCTCTGCCCAAACTGCCCATGAACTCATGTCTAAGCTTGAGGTACAACCCCTTTCACCCTCATAATCTAGCTTGGTTCGATCAACGAAACGAGTCAAAACCTCAGTTCGGTCGAGCTTGCCTCGAATCTGCTCAAATTGTTTAATAACTGATCAAAATTGTAAACAAGTTATTCTCGAACATGTCTAACTCGACTCGTTTAATTAAGTAAATATTTAAGCCAGTCAATCGAGCTTTCAAGAATCGAATCAAACTGTATTTGAGTAACAACTCTACTTTGATTCCATTTACATATTATGTATACTATATCATTTACATTTAATTTATTATTTATGTTTATTCTATATTTCAGGATTATGTTCCAATACTTGATGAAGCTGCATCAAAGTTGAGTTGGGAGTTGGAGCAACAATTGGGACACACAAGAATGTAAAATATATAGCAAAGTTCATAAATGAATTCTATTTAAATTGACCTTCAACTTCAAGTAATCATAACAAGTTAATTAGGTCTAGAAAATATATGATATGATGTATGTAATATTACTCACACAGTCCTTTTAATGCACTGTGGGATGTTTTATGCAGCATGTCCAAATTAAGTTGTGGTTTGCATGCGGTGTTGTTAAATTAAACGAGTCTGTCTCGGCTCGGCTCGAGTTCGATTCGTTAAGGTTAGAATTCGGCTCGAGCTCGAGTTCATTTAAAGCTCGTTTTGTTAATGAGCCGAGTTCGACCTGGCTCAATAAAGCTCGTGATGAGCCAAAATAATCGACTCACAGAGATTTCCGGTTGAACCGCTTCGTCTTGATCACCTCGCCTTGCGAATCGGGTCAACCTGCAAAGCGCTGGGGCAGACCCCGAAGAAGACACTCTGACGCTCAAGTCAGAAACTTATTTTCACACGTATTTAATTGAGAGACTTATTCAGAACTTAGGATTAGAAAAATGAACCTGAAATCTTTATTTATAAGGATTTAGTGGCTTACTCCCCAAGACAAAGGTTTCCTCAACAACAAGGAGTCTAACTCTCCCAAATCACTGTGTCGATATATACAAACTTAAATATCTTTTAGGAATATCTCCTGAATATTTTTAACCCATACAATATATCGCATAAATGGGCTCTGAGCTTCCTTGGACCGGCCTTATTCAGGCTAATCGCGCAAGCCGGTCCACCGAATTATTTTTGGTGCTACATCAGCTCGAAAATAGAATTTATATATAATTTTATATAGTTCGGCTCGTTAAAGCTCGAGATCGACTTACTTGTTTGATTGCATTGTTTACTTTCAAGACTAGTTAGTGTAATTTAGTTACCGTTTTATTTTTCTTTATATATAAAATAATAAAATCTTACAATCTTATAATTTTCACTAATTATTAATTTTTTTTTTTTTAAAAAAGATAAATAATTAAGCAAACGATTGCAAGACGGACGATGTAGTCACCAAGCCCGAAAGAAGCCCGATAAAAACGGCACTATTGTAGGTCGTGGGCTCGCCTTGCATCGAATTGTTCCTCACATCAACATACGACTCGTTAAGAAACGGCCCACCGACGAGCGCACCAGTGGCCACGTTCGGGTTGGGCTCATCCGACTCGAGCCACTTGAAGCCTTGCTTGCAGCCCGGTTTCTCGTGGGCCGGAATGGAAGCCCCACGGTGGTGCACGTGCTCCGGGTACACGTCACCGTACCCCACGAGATAGCTCATTTTCATGGGGTTGTTGCCCAAAACGTAATCGGCCTGACAAAAGAATAAAGTTCATTTTGTTATATATAATTGATTAATAATTAATTGTCATGCATTCATAACAACAATCTTTGTTGTGTTGAAATTGAAACTAGCTAATTTTGTTAAATGTTCATCAAATTTAACAGGGATAATTTTGAATTCAAATTGAAAAAAAAAAAAAAACATTGTAATGTAATTAAAAGGGAATGCTACGGTCATGTTATGGAACTATTCCGTCGTTGTTTGTAACCGTTAAATATAGTTAATCTAATGGTTCAAACGCTGACGGAATGGTTCCTTAACGGGACCGCAGCATTTCCCGTAATTAGAATTAGCTTAGGCACAATGTGTTAGACCAAAAATTAGCAAACATTGTACCTGTGAGGCTGCAAAATTTCGAAGGTCTTTGGGAGTAAAATTATTGCCATCACAAACAATCTTTGGAGTTCGAGAAGAGAGCATATAATCACTGTAAAGTAGTGCTAGAAAAGCCGATGCCACTGGGTGCTGCAAAGCGTTCCACTCGCTCACCCATATTAAACCACCTACATATATATATATATATATGCATAATATTTAATTTATTTATTTATTTTTACTTAGAATTTGAATAACATGATCACTATATAGTATAATAAAAGAGATCATTTTAATTACTCTTTGTTCGGCTAGATGTGGCAGATGGAGACTCTGGAAGAAGATTGCACATCACAGCCTCTGCAGATTTCCTATAATTCTTCAGCTTCTCCGAATTCGAGCCGTCGAAAAACCCAACCCTAGAGAGCAGCACCTATATATACTTCATAAAATCATTCACAAGTTGGACATACGATAATGTGATTCGAAAAGATAAAAATAAAAATTCGAAAACCTCTGCTCCCGCCAGCTTGTTGTCCCAGCTGAACCAAGTGGGCCGGCCCCAATCGGCGAAATCGTCCCCGTTTTTCCCGGTCGCATATTCCAAATACGAGCCCTCGCCCGTCGCGTGGTAAAGCCATCCCGCGGCCCACAAGAGCTCGTCCCCGTAGCCGGTCGAGTTGTAGTAAGTTTGGACCTCGGGCACGCTCTTACTGTAGGAGCCTCGGTTTTTGTCCGCGAAAGAGAAGAGTTGTACCGCGTGCTTCAAGAGCGTGCCCGAGTACGTGGGGTCCGTGGACTTGAAGACGAGGGAGGCTGACCCGAGGGCGGCGGCCGTCTCGGCTGCAACCTCCGTGCCAGGAGCCGACTCGTTAACCTGAACGAGAGGTCGCCTCTCGGTCATGTCCTCGGGTCGGGTCCAGCACGCGTGGTCGAGTTTAGGGTTACCCACCTAGTCGAGCGAATTTTGAAGGAAAAAGTCAAACCAGTAAATACAATCAGAGGAGGATAGGTTAGGAAAAGTGTGTATTTTATATATTTATTGGCATATTTTTATATGTTTAATTTTATAACACTTATATATATTTTTTGTTTATTTATTTATTAAATGAGTTAAGTGCTATGTATTAGCAAAACTAATCCTAAAACCTTAACAGTCACTAATCCCAAACTGCCAGATGGATAACTCACACCTACTGCCCTCTGATAGCTGAGAGA